AGAGGTATGTGAGTGGAGTGAACTCAATATGTTTACATACTTCCGCGGCATTTCTTTGCGAAGGAATGAACCCATAAGGGATTCACGATGTACTGAGTCGAAGGCTCCTTCCAGGTCAAGGAATACGACAACCGTTGGTCAACGGTGCGTATGGCGTAGCTCGAGGATTTAACGCAGGGTGAAGATTTGGTCGATATAACTGCAACCTGGTCGAAATCCTGCTTGTTGTTCGCGGATGTTTGTCTCCCTAACCGGCGTCAGACGTCTAATTTTAATGAAGGCTAATAACTTGGTGATCAAACTTATTCCATGGTGGTTTGCGCATTCGTTGCGAGATCCTTTCTTAAAAATTGGCACGATCAGTGATTCGCTCCAAGATGATGGAATGCGCTCGTGTGACTAGCCGTTATGCATTAAATCAGTAATGTAGTCTACAAGGTCACCGCCCCTCCTATCTTGAAAAGAGTTGGAGGAAGCCCGTCTGGCCCTGATTTTTTTCCTTTCTTCAGTAAAAGCTTCAGAAGACTTTGCCCACGAAGCCTCAGCTTCACCAGAGGAGATAGCCTGGTTAGCGCCTGGCCAGCTGAATTGCTCGTTGAAGTACTCCGCCCATCGGTCAAGCCGTTGTTTCTTATTGTAAATAGCCTATCCACTTTTGTCGCAGATTGTTTCACTAACTGTGGTTCGCCGACCTCCCCTATTGCGTATCAGTTGAAACAGTCTCTGACTATTCCTTGATGCAGCTTCTACTTCCATTTCATTAGCTATTGTTGCCCACCAGTTCTCACGGTCTTCCTTGAGGCTCCTTGTGAGATGACGTTGTAGACGCCACCTAACCCTGCCTTGATCCCGGGTGGTTGGGATTTGCCGCTTTTTCTCCATCAGTGCTACTGACTCATCAGATATTCAATGCCTCGTGCGGGCTCCCGCTTCCGATCCACAAGCAACCATCGCTGCGGAGTGCGTTTCTTGGCTAATCTGATTCCATTGTTCATTTACACTACCACCCCGTAGTGCGTTTAGCTCTTTCCCTAGTTCTGATTCAAAAACTAGCACGGACGGCTGCTTCAGATAAACGATGATCTGCCAATCGAGTTTAGTGGAATTTTCTGCGACCGGACTCTGATAGAACCTTGGAGCCGCATCGCACATAAGCGGCTGTTGACGGGGATCCAATCAAGTAGTGCGGCTTTGGCTATATTGTTCAATACAGTGCCCACACCACGCTGGTCTACTAAACGGGCTTCTTCATCACCTGACGTTCGGAG